AGATATTGTGGATCGAAGATTTGCTTGAAACTTTCCATTAAGGCAATAGAACATCAACACCAAATGATACAACAGGACCACTTCAACCTGCCTACATTTTGACAAACTTATATCATATAATAAAAACATGAAAAGCTAATACAATATAAATTATATTTATATTGTATTGCATTATGAATACAAAATTAATCAAAAATTATAACATAGCTTTTTGTACCCACCAGGTGTAAAGACCAACCGCGTAATGTTCATGGAGGATTTTGTGCACTTGTACTCGCCTAATCTTGTCCAAATATGCTGATAGGTCACTATTTTGTCAGTGTTCCATATTGTTAATTATATTTTGTAAGTTGGCAACCCCAACACTACTACTAGACGTAGATGATTGTTATGTGTGACACTCTCGAAATAAAGTACACGATAAAACAGAAGACATTTTTTATTTATTAGAATCTTCTTATAGAACATGGTGTCAGGTGAAATATTTATATAAAATTATTAAACCTAAAGTGAGAAACCTAGTACACCGCAAGAGAAGAAAAAACTTTGTGAAATTCAAGAGATTACACTTGATAGTAAAACAAAATGTCGGTCACAGATAAAATGTGAAAACGTGTCCCTCAATAAAACTCACAGTGGATGATTGAGACCTCCCAAAGGATTAAAACTAAGTGGTGAAGGGGCAAACTGGAAGAAATATAGACAGTACTTTGAAATATACATGGAAGCAGCTGAAATCGGACATGTCCCAGAGAGCAGAAAAATCGCTATTTTTCTCAACGCGGGTGGTGAAGAAGCAGTAGAGGTCTATAACGCATTAACAAATGAAGAAAAAACTACTTTGAAGGATTTGTTCATTGCACTTGATAAATATTCGGAACCAAGAAAAGTCTTGTATTAAGTACATATGAGCTGCTTAATTACAGACAAGAAGACTATGAAACAATAGATCATTTCTGTACTAGGTTAAAAAATCAAGCAAAGAAGTGCGAACTAGGTGACATGGAAAGTCGAATAGTGGCTTTAATGCTAGTAATAGGAATAAATAATAAAGCTACAAAAGAAAGATTGTTGAGAGAAGAAAAACTTGATTTAGAACATGCAATTACCATATATAGGACATGCTGGTGTTGTGAAATGTAAGAAACGACTTAGAAAAGTTTATTTTGGCCAGGAATGTCTGTAGATATAGAGAAGTTTGTTTTGAGTTGTAAACCTTGTGCGAGATTTAGATCATCAAATGTAAAAGAACCTTTAATGTCACATGACATACCAGATATTCCATTTTATAAAGTTGGTGTTGATATTTGTAGTTTTAATGGGAAAGATTATTTAATTTTAATTGATTATTACTCTAAATGGATAGAAGTTAAATATTTGAAAGAAAAGAATTCTAGTAATGTTATTAAACAGTTTAAAGATATTATTAGTACACATGGAATCCCTAAAATATGTGTAAGTGATAATATGCCATTTGCCAGTTTTGAATTTAAAAAATTTGCTAAAGAATTGGATATTGAATTAGTACACTCTAGCCCTAGATATCCAAAATCAAATGGTTTGTCAGAAAAAGCAGTAGGAATTGTCAAACAGTTAATGAAGAAATGTAAACAAGATAATTCAGATTTTACTATGGGTTTGTTAGCATACAGAACAACACCTGTTGCTGGATTAGAATATTCTCCATCAGAGTTGCTTATATCAAGACTTCTACTTTGCCTTGTGTTAAAGAAGAGTTAAAGTCAAAATTGCCTATTAATGTTAAAGAAAAAATGAGAATAATTAGAGAAAATACACAAAAATTATAATAAAACAGCAAAAAGTAGGGTAGATTTTAAAGAAAGGGATAATGTAACGATACAAAATTTGCCAAATAAAACATGGGTGCCGGGGAAGATTATAAATAAAGTTGAGCCAAGATCGTATAACGTTTTAAATGAAGAAGGCAATGTAGTTCGTAAAAAATAAAAATCATTTGAATAACAGGAAAAATTAGTTAGTTTTAAAAGAAGAGTGTCTGGATATAGATATACCAGTTACAAACAATAGGGATGTACCTGTAATAGATCCCATAGGTAAAGAACAGGAGATTGTAGACATCCCTATTAGAACTAGATCAGGTAGGGTTATAAAAGCTCCACAAGGGGTTAAAAAATTATTACCTGTAGTAGATTTTAAGTTTATATATTTAGTAATATGTGGTGTATAATAGTTGCTAATGTACCTACATTATACATACATGGTTATAGTAAGGGAAACGTCATGTAAAGAGGGGATGTTCCATATTGTTAATTATATTTTGTAAGTTAGCAACCCTAACACTACTACTAGACGTAGATGATTGTTCTGTGTGACACTCTCGAAATGAAGTACACGATAAAACAGAAGACATTTTTTATTTATTAGAATCTTCGTATAGAACAGTCATTCTCTATCAAACGCCGCACAACATTGATGTCTTCTTGAGCCATCGCCGTAGAAGGTCGTCCCGCACGCAGATTATAAGTAAAATTAATGCTACCACGTTTGAACTCATTAAACTGTTTGTAAAAGAAATCTTAATTAACAAACAGGGCTTCATCGTAAAAACCAATCGAGGTCTATCACAATATTCTAGTTGATTTAAGTGACATCGAAATACATAATTAATACATATTGCGCTAAAATATTCTTATGTTCAATGATATGAATCATATTCAATGTGGCACTTAAATCTTCTGTCCTAAATTTAAACTTATTTTTAATGTTGATTACACTTGTATTGTATTGCAACACTGATAGTTCTAAAAACCTTCAGTGTTACCCTCGTATTAGATCATAGTTTCTCAACCTTATTTTGCTTACCGCCCACTTTGAGAATATATTTTTTTCTAAAGCCCCCATCTTAATTTTAAGATGGGGGCATCTTAATTTTACTTACCATCTGTCGCTAATTTAAAACAGCTATTGCCACGATTATATTTAAACGTAAGATATTATATTATAGTCGTAAGATAGGAATATGACCCCTATCCTATTTCTGAGTTTAAAATGAAAAATGAAAGAAGAATGTTTCAATGGGAGCAATTAAAACGCATGCTTAGTTATATTGAGGTGTATTTTTTTTCATTCAAAAGACGAATTTATGACATAACTAATGAGAAGGTTGAATTTGATGCATTTTAAGGAGTTTGTTAATATCAGGCTCGATTTTACTTAAAAACAACCGTAAGTCGCCGCGTTCAGTAACATGAAGCCGATTTCTCTTTTTAGTTACCAACGTTGCTACAGCACTAAATCCACGTTCAGCTAAATAGGAAGATGGGAATGCTATCAGAAATCGTTGAACAATCAACCATAATCCTGGGTACAGTTGTGAAATCGGCTTCTGCAGCCAAAATTCTTGGTAGCCATTCTTGAATTTAATTTTTAATTCCTCATTTGTCGTCAGTTCTATTAGTTCTTCTTCTAACAGGGATGATCCTGCTGTGTTAACATTTGAAAAAGGATCCAAAACCCAGTCTGGTATATCCATGTTTAAAACGTCCTGGAATCGTTCCTTGAAATTTCTGTGGAGGTTTTCCAAGTGTTGAAAGTAAACAAGCAAGTCGTCGTTATTGAATGATACTCGTGATAAATTTGGGAAGTTGTTGAATTCCCGTCTGCCGATATTTCTTTTGTATAATAGTAGTTTGGATACGAAAGCAGCAATGCTATTTTTTGTCTTAATCAAGTTTAAGTCATCACCTTCAAGTGGGAGGTTGACATCATTAAACAATTTATACAGGTCTGTCAAGTATGCAATATCTTTCTTTGATGAGATGAGGTTGTCGCGCAATTCTGGGTCTTTGTTTTCTAGGAACTCTATCACAGATCCAAACAGATTGTAAAATCGAGTCAAGCAAGTACCTTTTGACAGCCAGCGCACCTCTGTGTGAAGCAGCAGTCGGTTGAAATCTTCATCATTGGCAATGCAAAGCTGACTAAATAATCTGTCATTCAACGAGTTACTTCTGATTTTATTGACTGATCTGATGACATATTGCAGTGATATATGGAGGCTTCATCAGATTTTTCGCAACCAAATGCTGGCGATGAATTACGCAATGCACAGCAAGCACGTCAGGAACTTTATTTTTTAAGCACGCTATTAAGCCTTTGTGACGCCCTGTCATAGCCGGTGCGCCATCCGTAGCAACTGACAAAATATTATTCAAAGGAATTTCCTTTTCGGCACAAAACTTTTCAAGAGTATTAAATATAGTTTCTCCTTTTGTATCCGTTTCCAAATTTGTAGCAAACAATAGTTCTTGACATATTTTCTCATCCTTAATGAACCTCACGTATGACAATAACAGTGCTTCATTGGTGGGTAAAGTGGACTCATCCAGCTGAATTGAAAATTGACAAGTCTGCAGATAATTGCACAATGATTCTTCAATGTTTTTAGCCATCTCATCTATTCGTCTTTGCACAGAACTATTGCTCAAAGGAATTTTTCGGATAATATCTGCAGCTGGTTTATGGAGTACAGTGGTTATTACTTCTTTGATTGCTGGTAAAATTAAATCTTCCCCAATAGTGTGTGGTTTCCCTGTTTTAGCAATCAACAATGAGATATTGACGAAGCTCGAAGTCCGTCATCGTCTTGCTTAGAAGCTGATGAAAAAAGTTTTGATATAGTTGTCTGAATTTCGTACTTCTTTTTCATGTCTTGAAAATAGGTCACATCTTTGTCTTTCTCATCCGGGTGTATTTTATTAAAATGATCTTGAAGCCTAGAAGGCTTCATCGCTTCATTTGAAAATGTTTTTTTACAAATAAGGCACAATGGCGATGATGGATTTGTGGGATTTGTTTGCACTTTACAGATACGTGAGTAAAAGATTAACTTTTAAAACCCTGTTTTCAATTGCGCGCGATAATGCTAATGAAAATGAAATGAACAATCATTGCCTTTATATAGGTTGGAGATATTTAACATGTAACGACAGAAATAAGATAAACATGCAGTGACTCGTTTATAACACCCGGCGCGAAAGGTAAGGGCGGACGCCGCGCGGGGGCAAGGGCGACGCGGGAGCAGAGTGCGGGCTCAGACCTGTCGACGCATGTACGTCACTTGCTGACTCCCGAATGCCCCGAAGACACTGACGAACAAAAAATTATTATAATTTAATCTATTTTATCTTGAAATAATAAAAACCATTCGGAATAAGCCATTTTAGTGAAATAAATCTGAAATTTTATGGTAGGGGTTGACCGCGGCCCCAAGCCGGTTCGCTTGCCAGTTTAGATTATAAACATACACAAAACATCGATTAATAATTATTAATTAATTAATGTTTTGTGTATGTTTATTTTATTATAATTTCAACAAATATTAAGTATCTTTTGGAAATTAAAATTTATATAATCTTAATCTCTGTACTTTAACCTCGATTGTAGTACTTTTTTTATAGTTTTTAGTAATGATGATTTTAATCCATTGCCCGCCCTACCAAAATACGTGCACACGTGATAAAAATGATTACAATAACAAAAATTAAACGATATTAATTTTTATTTTACTTTAGTAAGTGATTAGCGTGTATTTTTTTGCCTTTTTAGACTATATTTATAATCTACCCACGCCCCCTCTGCGCCATCTCAATGCCCCCTAATTTTCTCTGGGTCTTCTACTGCCCCCCCGAAAGTCTCAAACGCCCACAAGGGGGCTTTATCGCCCACGTTGAGAATTTATGTATTAGATCCTTGACTGAAAGTTGTAGAATATTAAAAATAAAATATTTTCTGAGTATTTCTACGTGTCTCGAGTATTCAACGTTGTCAATATTGAACAAAATCCAAAGTTTATGAAGATGTGGGCAGGTTGAAGTGCTCCTGTTGTATGTCTTCATTATTTATTGGTGAGCCAACGTTGTTTGCATCTTCCTGTAGCCTTTATGGAAGGTTTCTAGTAAATCTTGGATCCACAATTTCTGGTAACAAACAATTCTTATAAAAAGATTCGAGTTTTCTTTTCATCTTCTTTTTCCAAAATATATCTTCTTTTTTAATAATTTCTATTTTTAAATTTTCGCTTTCGCTAAACCACACTGCAAAAATACACTTTATTTTTTTAGCTATATGTAACTGACCTTGTACTTGATAGTACCAATTGTGATTTTGGTTAATACATAATTCATCTTTTTTATTTTTTATTTTCTTTATTAACTGAGCAATAGCTTTTTGTTCATTTACTTGACCATGATGAATAGAAGAGACGTAGTTGATATTACTTTTATATAAAATGTCTTTGACAATGTTAGCGGACGGAGTATTGGGTCTTTTTTTAATAGCTCGGCCAAAATTTGATGCGGTCAATAACGATCGTCGAACCTCCATCCACTCACTGCTGTCACGTTGCAGAATCGTCGATCTTTCAATTCTTCGACGTTCATCGTCAGTTTTTTTAAGAAATGTACAAAATTTGTCTTTAGTTTTAGAAACTAATCTACTGGCATATCCGGTTTCGTACATTCTTTCCCATAGTTTTCATCCGACTTCCTAAATATCAAACGTCTCTTCTTTTTTGTATAGTTTCTGTTGAGACAATTTTTTCTTGCTCGTCTTTCTTCAAAAATTTTTAATTTTCCTCTTGGGCTTAATTACTTATTTTTCTATACACAAGCGACAAACATTTCTTCGTATTAAATGATACAGCAGCAGCACTACATCTTGTTGCATATGAGTGGCTCAGAGAATAATTTATGCGTTTACCTCCTACGAATTTTGCAACTATGCTGTGATAGCGTTCAACTATATTGCTGTCCACATCGTAGATCAGACTTCTGGCATGGCTTGCAAGATTTTGTGTTAGGAGGCAGATTCTTTGCCATAAAGAACTGGAAAAAAAATCTTTTGTTTTTACTAGATCGTCTTTAGTGCCCACTTTTTGATAGAAATGTTTTTTGCATTCAGTGACACATCATTACATCATTACCAAAAGCGTGATGATGTGTTAGTAATATATCTACAAATAAATAGGAAAATTCGGGAAATTCATCATTTTTGTTTTTTTTTTATTGTCTGTATAATAGCAGTTCTTAGAATAATTACTTTACTATTTGTGATTATTTTTCTATGGCTTAACGGATATTTCATATCGATCTTTAAACTTACAATTTTATTGCAGTAATTTCGCATAAAATGGTTACGGTATTCTATTTTTTCAACAGATACGCCATCCTCTCGATAAGGTTGCGCTTGCAGAATTTTATCATAAGTGCATGAATCACCATCTGATATTAAACAGCCGTAAATTAATTTATGGGTTGCAATAGATTGTTTGAATCCCTCTAAAATTATGTCTGTTTCCATACCCGTAGATGGGCCTGAATAATTTTTGTAGCAGGTATGCTCTTTGGCTATGATTTTTTTCTTATAAGCACGGTCACAAACATAACAATACTTATTCTTCACTCCTAAAAACAAGATTTCACCTGTTCTTTTTCCAATGATAGCTGCTGCTCCTGATAAAGCAGAATAGTTTTTTTTATATGATCTCTTGGAATACACCCATCCGCAACAACATCTATTATGGGCACACCAGTTTTAGAAATCCTTCCGTCAGCTATAGCAAAATTCCTTTCCTTTTCAGCAGCTTCATTCATAGAGTCTTGAGCAACTTCTTCCCAATTTCTGGAAAGAATATTATGTTGACTTTGGTATATCTTATTTGATATCATTGGCAAGTTTAAAGCCAAAAAAAATCTTCTAAATGTGAATAGCCGCCACCTATTGATATTATCCCTGTCACAGCACAACTATTGACATCTACGTAATTATCTTCAGTACAATCATTTTCTATATAAAATTTCAAATTGCACATTTTACATAAAAAAGTAAATTTTGAAAGCAACCCATTTTGTTTTTCGCTTATCAAATCCATTGTACTTATATTACAGCCAAGAGGTCCATCGTCAGAAATTTTCTGAAGCTCCTTAAAAAAATGCGAGACGCTCACAATTCGCCGTCCGATGTTGTTTGCTTTGTTTGTGTTCCTAGTTTTTATTATGTTATGTTCCTCTTCCATATCATACCTATAATCATTAATGTAAGTTACCGAAAAATAAAACTAATAAATATTATTTTGCTTTTTATTGCATTATACATATTTATGACTTACTCAGAGTTTTCACAATGCTTAGAATCGATTCCCAGGAAAGGAATTGGATCCTTTTCTATTTTGGTAAATGTTACATTTTGCAATCTGAAATGTAATAAATGTCATTTTATTAAATCAATAAAGTTTTAATAAAAACTCGGAACTGGGTTGTGTGAAAAGATAAAATCACTTTGACTAATGTTTTGCAATTTAGTTTTAACGGAGATTAGACTTAGATGGACAGTAGATTTGATTAAATATTGATTAGAAATTAATTTATTAGTATGAATTTGTATGAAATAAATTTTAAATAAAACTAAATCATAAGTATGTTCCATTTACCCTTTTTGAAAAACACTTAAAAACATTTTTAATTAAAGGTATTTATCAGTAAAACATTACATAAATAGTTTTATTTTCTATTTCTTAATTTATTCGTGCATATTAAGTTAAACAAAACCGTCAAAATCCTTCATTCACGTGACACTTATTGGTAACCTAATTTTCTGCTCAGTGTAACTTCGTCAGCATACTGCGTAAATTTAATATTTTTTAGTAACCTGACGTGCTGCTGTATTTACGTTTTATTATAATGATAAACTTTATTTTATAATCGCATTAGTAATACTTACTCATGTAAAATAACACTTTCACTTGCTTTGGGGACATTTTCTAATCGACTTCTTTTTCTGTTAATAAAACCAAAATAGACAAGCATTTAATTTTTAAAAGATAAAGTGAATATATACATATATTGTAAACTATTATCTATAGTTAAAAAAAATAGTATTAATCCGGGATCTAGCAAAATTCCTAAATTATAGCCATTACATCACGGCCTATTTGGACCAATTAATGATATAAATAAAAAAACTACACAATTGTATTAAATAGCTAATATGACGAATTAACACTATTTTATGGGGATAAATTACGTTTATTCTAATTTTAGTATAAAAGTCGGTAACTTCATTAATTGGTCGAAGATAGGCATATGTACCCTGTATACGATTATGAAGGAACTTTGATAAATATTAGTAACCTGTTATGCTGCAGTGTGTACATAATATTATGTCAAAAAAGGTACATGGTTAGGTACTTACTTTATAACTTCCATCATGTGTTTATGTTTATTTTTGTAATATCGCTTCTTAGAACTTTTGTTTGGATAGGGGTCTGGTATTAAAAGGTGCAAATTAATAAAATTCGGGTTTTTTACAAATGCGTGTACTCGCTTGAACCAACAGAAAAGGAAAGAAATAATGAAAAAAAACCGTTACAGCAACTTAAAACTAGTGATGCGGCGAGTCGATTATTCGTTTCGAACATGCCCCCGCGCGTTGAAGACTTGTCCTTCAACCAAATCTTCACCAGGCATCATTAGTGGTACTATCCTGCTATAACTTCTTCGGACAACACCGTTCGCCGTTCTTATGTCCGCAACACGACATACGTTGTCACTGGTACCGGGATGAACAGCCACAATACGTCCAAGTTTCCACTTTAACGGTGGAAGACCATCTTCCTTCAACAGGACAAGAGTATCGATCTTCAAAGAGTATCCGTCAGATTGCCATTTGACTCGTTGTTGAAGTTCACTAACGTATTCCTTGCTCCATCTTGCCCAAAAATGCTGACGTAACTGTTCAATGCGCTGGTAACGTGTCAATCTACTGGTAGGATAGCCACTGTAGTTCCGGTCCGGCAAAGCAGTTAGTGGACGGCCGATGAGAAAATGGCCGGGTGTGAGTGGTGTCAAGTCTGCGGGGTCCGATGACAACGGAGAGAGTGGCCGAGAATTAAGTATCGCCTCGATTTGTACTAACGTGGTAGTGAGCTCCTCGAACGTTAAATTACATTGGCCCAGCACTCTATTTAAATGAAATTTACAGGACTTGATACCAGCCTCCCAGAGGCCACCGAAAGTAGGACTATAAGCAGGTATAAAATGAAAACGAATACCCTCTTGTGCCATATCCGAAGCCAGTGAGTCACTATTACTATTTAAAAATTTTGAAATATCGTTATAAGCGCCCACAAATGAGGTACCGTTATCAGAAAATATATGAGTGTGCTTTCCTCTGCGTGATATAAATCTACGCAACGCTAATAAATAGTTATTGCTCGTTAAATCACCCACCAACTCCAGATGTACCGCCTTAGTCGTGAAACATACAAAAAGTGCAATGTAGGATTTAATAAGCCTACATCCGCGACCAGTACGACTCGCGACGGCCACCGGGCCGGCGTAATCTACACCTACACTATCAAACGGATAGCCACCAGGTTGAAGACGCTGCTGAGGTAAATTACCCATTAACGGATTAAATGATTTTCCATTCATACGTTGACAACGCATGCACTGCCGAAAACACCTCTTTGCGAGATTTCGACCGCCTATGGGCCAATAAGTTTCTCTAATCGTAGCCAATAAAAGTTGAGGACCGGCATGCATTAATTTTTTATGTTCAAATTCAAAAATTAACTTAGTTACTTGATGTGTGGACTGTATAATTATAGGGTGTTTCTTTTCAAATGAAAAATTTGAATTTTCTAATCGACCTCCAACGCGAATTAAATCATTGTTATCTAAATAAACATTAAACTTTATAAGTGGACTTTTCTTCGGCAAGTCCTTGCCTGTAATTAACAACTTATATTCCGGAAATGACTGAATCTGTGACTGACGTAAAATGACAATCATGGCTTTTTCAAGTTCATCAGAATCTAAAAAATTCGTTTTACGTATCGTTTCCTTTTTTAAATTATTTATAAATCTTAAAACATATGCTACAGTGCGTTGGAGCCTAAGCAATTTTGAGAAACGATTGAAATCTATGAGTTCATGCTGACTTGATTCACGAACATGTAATGAGATATCATTACGAGTTTCAGGCAAGTTTTCAGTAGTGTTTGCTGTAGCAGGCCAGTGCGATGGATCGCGTTTTAAATAATCTGGTCCATGCCACCACAAAGAGCACGACTGAAGTGAACAAATATCAATGCCGCGTGATATTAAATCCGCGGGGTTTTCTTTAGTCGGAACTTAGTTGTACTACTACTTTCGCGTAGAACACCATGATGTGGTATGAAATAATGAGGGACCGATGTTATCGGATCACACTCTGTCATGTGATTTAATGACTCATACTCTAACATGAATTCATTGTACATTTTACTAAATGACTGATTTTTTTTTTTTTTAACCTGCGCTCTAATGGTAACATACAGTGCTTCGCTCTCTGATATGAATCACCTAACACGTTCGGTGTTTGTTTTAATGGGATTCTAACACAGAAACGACCATCTGCGAGGCGAGTTGTGTTCTTTACAAAATGTTCTTCACAATGCTTCTCTTCTGGAAAATAATGAGATGACTGACGGCCAACTTCTTCGAGCTGCCAAAACCGCGTAAGTTGGGTTTGAATGTCATCATCAGAATTCACGTTCCTGCAGGTCTTCGGATTTATTACTTGTAGGAACTATGCCTCGTTTTAACCAAAAAATAACACTTTAGATGTTCATCTACGAAGACATTTTATTGAATTGAAAAACAATAACATGTGACATTGTCAATAAAATTTAAATATTATTATTTATTTATTATTAACTGAAATGAGGTTTGATTTATAACATCCTCCCCACCATGGCACTGGTTGACAACAACATGTGCCTTCTTACGCCATACACACATAGCACACTCATAATACAAAGTACAAAATAAAATTAAAAACTATACATACTAACAATATCCTAAACACAATACATACCTTATAAAATTTATTAATACTATGTTCAAAACTAAAATTTTAACTTATCTGGTATTCTGACGAGTCGGCCAGAACGCGTTCTAAGTTCACCTTGTACTTCTCGTTGAATACCTATTGCAGTATTGTGTTTGTTGCTCTCACTGCGATTATTCAAATAAGCAGATTCCACACTAGATAACTCTAGTGGGTACAGAGACTGTACAGCTCTTAAACGTTCTCCCGACGATGTCCTAAGACGAGCAACTCTATTGACACCGTCAGAACCTCCCATACATTCTAATACTAAACCCAGTGGCCACTGTATACGCTTCTTGTCACTAACCTCAAGTAGTACAATATCCCCGGGTTTTAAAGAATTATTTTTATTTTTATTACATTTAGTGACTAGTAAGCCTAAATATTCACTGCGAAAACGATGTTTCAAATCAGAACATAGTTTCTTAATGTAGCGCCACCGTGATGTCAAAATATGACCATCTATCAAATCGATATCAAAAGTATTGCTACTATTTGTCTTATAAAATAGTAAAAATGAAGCGGGTGTAAGAGGTTGAACATTTTCTGAATTATCCGCAATATACGTGAGCGGACGCGAATTTACAATCGCCTCTACCTCACAAATGACGGTTGATAACTCATTAAAAGATAATGCTGCTCTACCTAAAACACGCCTTAAAAGTTCTTTGACAGTTCTTACCATTCGCTCCCAAAATCCTCCCCACCATGGCGCTGCGGGTGGACTAAAGCGCCATAAAATCCTATCAGTTTTAGATTCTACTGTTTCCCAATTTATGTTATCAAAAACATTACTTGCACCTCTAAAGTTTGTTCCATTATCGCTGTATATAACCTTAACATTCCCTCGTCTAGCTAAAAATCTACGAAGAGACATCATAAATTCTTCGGTAGATAACGAAACACAGAGCTCTAAATGAACCGCGCGATACACAGCACAAGTGAATAAGGACAGCCAGCACTTCTCCCCAGATCTCAGATATAATGGCCCTGCAAAATCTATCCCCGTAACTTCAAACGGACCGCTACATTCAACGCGATCTGCAGGTAATGGTGGTATAGGAGCAACACAAGCTTTGGCACTGAACCGTTTGCAAATCATACAACTATTAACAACGCGATTAGCCATTTTCCTGATACCTAATATCCAATAAAGTTCGCGTAATTTAGATATTAAAGTTTGGGAACCTGCATGTGAGAACTTTCTGTGAAAGTGCACTGTTAAACGTTCTACTATTTGACACTTAGGAAGTAAAATAGGCATAATAAAATTTTCAGTATCATTACTCAACATTAGTCGCGTTTTGACACGAAGAACACCATAATTGTCCTTTACTAATTCCAGATTCGGTAACTTATTTGTGTTCATTAAATAATCTATTTGTAACATTATAAATAACCTTTTTTCAGCTTCCAAAATCTCATCATTACGTAAATTCCCTAAACGTTTATTTAGCTTTTTCGAATTAAATATAAACCTAAGACACCAACCTATCATCCTAACTATTTTTAAATAATCGCTAAAATATAAAAACTTATTAGAGAATCTATCTTTTTCCTCTACATTTATTAAAACTGAACTAAACTCTTTTTCTATCTCTGTAACATCTGTTGTTTCTACAGAATGAGGCCAATTTAAACTGTTTTCTTTTAACCAAGTAGGACCTAACCACCATTTACTTTCTAGTAAAACTTGTGGGTTACATCCTCTTGAAGGGAGATCAGCAGGGTTTAAATCCCCCGATATATGATGCCAATTAGCGATATTTGTTCTATCAAGAATCTCTTTTACTCTGTTGTGTACGAACACATTAAAACCTACTTTTTTCCTTAACCATGCTAATACTATGCTCGAATCGGTCCAGTAATATTCCTTACAAGGTAACTCTAAGCTATCTCTAACCTCACTCGCCAATCTCGAAGCCATCAATGCCGCAAGTAATTCGATCCTAGGTATAGTTACTGCCTTTGTCGGGGCTACCCTTGCTTTAGCCATTATTAACTGAACAGATACTTCACTCTTAAACCCCGAGCGTAAGAATATACAACAAGCATAGGCTGATTTGCTACCGTCACAAAATATATGAAGGCTATTATCAGTTAAATTTATATCGTGTGTACTTAACCTTCGTGGAATACAACAACTATGAAATACGTTCATTTGACGTATCCACTCTTGCGTTAGTTTGGTCAATTCATTTGGTAAACTCTGATCCCAATCAATATTCATGATCCAGCATTTTTGAATGATTAATTTAGGTACTATAGTTGCTGGGCTAAGAAATCCTAACGGATCAAAAACACTTTGCGCTAGGGATAGTAGAACTCTTTT